CAAATTGCATTTCCCTAATGGCTAGTAATGTTGAACATCTTGTCATGTGCATATTTGCTGTCCATCTATACTCGATGAAATGTCTCTTCATGTCTTTTGCCCATTTTCTAATTCATTGCTTTCTTTTCTTTCCTTTGTTTTTTAAACTATTGCATTTTGATATAAAGTCTCCCTTTTTGTTAGGAAGTTTGAAATTGGCTTCTGCTTTCAGAAGTTGGCTTCTTGCAAACCTAAAACTCATGGATAATCTACGTTTTCATTTAATGACAATCAAATTAGCTAACATTTACTGAGCACATACTTTATGCCAGGTACTATTCTAAGTGATTTACAGGTTTTAGCTCATATGATATATGTTGTTTTTATAAACATCACATGTTGTTTTTAAAAACATTAACTGCCATTACAATCTAGTTAGCAAATCTAATTGTTGACATAAACAAACAACCAGGCACTGGTAAATTTGAATTAGCTGAGTTTATTTGTGTTTCAGTTGGTGGAAAGAAAACTGAAGCTACGGAAGTCATTCCACAAGAGTGCATGACTCACCATAGCCACTCTTAAAGTGAAATAAATAAATAAATAAAAATTAAAATAAAAAATCACAAGCTCATATATGGTTTCCTTGTCATTTGTTTTAAGTAAATATGTGGCAATCTTCAGTTCAATAAATTCTAAGAACAATATCCCCCAAGACTTTAGTCTCCTAAAAACAAATAACGACAACAACAAAACCCAAACCTGTGCCACTGAGTTGATTCTGACTCACAGCAACCTACAGGATAGACTAGAGCTGCTCCATAGGGCTTCCAAGGCTGTAAATCTTTAAGGAACCAGGCTGACACATCTTTCTCCCATGGAGCGTCTGGTAGGTTTGAACAACTGACCTTTAGGTTAGCAGTTGAATGCTTAACTACTGTGCCACTAGGGCTCATTCTCCTTAAAATAAAACCAGAAAATAAATGTACGTTTATATTATATAAAGGAGCTCTGGTAGTGTAGTGGATAAGGCATTTGGCTGCTAACCAGAGGTTAGCATTTCAAACATATCAGCTTCTCTGTGGAAGGAAGATAGGGCAATCTACTTCTGTAAAGATTTATAGCTTTAGAAACCAAATGGGGGTCACTATCAGTTGGAATAGACTCGATGGCAGTGAGTTTGTTTTGTTTTATGGTTTATATTATATACTAAAAAAACCAAATTCACTGCCATTGAGTTGGATCTGACTCATAAAGACCCCTCCTTGGGTTTCTGAGGCAGTATCACTACAGAGGTAGATTGCCCAACTTGCCTTCTGAGGAGTGGCTGGTGGGTTTGAACTGCCAGCCTCTGGTTAGCAGTCAAATGCCTTAGGCACTATGCCACCAGAGCTTTTAAAACCTGCATTATTGTGAATGAAGTAGATACACATGCAGGGATCAGATATTTGGAATTCCTGTGTGAGGCTAGGGCCATATTTATTAAGATTTGGAGAGGGATCAGGGGTTCCATGAGGGTCTCCAAGGTTACTACCCAGTAGAACTACCTCTGCAAAGGGCAAGGCCCCTCTGTGGACTGGTTATGCTCCTTTGTGTCCCAGGAACTATAAGTATGAGTTATAGGTGATTCAAGCCATTGAGTATGGACTGCCATTATACTCTTGGCTTCTGAATAACCAATCATTTATGCTTTCTTTTTTTTCATACTCAAAATCAATGAAAAGATGCAGAATACTCACTCTCACACATTAAAAAACAAAACAAAACAAAAGAAAATACCAGTTGCTGTCGAGTCAAACTCTATGTGTGTCTTAGAGTAGAACTATGCTCCACAGAGTTGTCAATAGATGATTTCCTGCAAGTAGATTGGTATGCTTTTCTTCTGAAGTACAAACTTTCTTCTGAGAGTAGACTCCACTTCTAACCTTTTGATGCAGCCATGTGCATCAACCATGTATACCATCCATTAGACAGGTGCAGTTCCACCCTTGGAAAGATAAATGAATTAGGTCCTCACATGAGGATTCAGGGAATGGCCACCACAAGCCAGATGTCTCAGTGTTACTGCCACAGTGCTGGGGAACTAGAGCTGTGAAAGGTGGCATTAGCAGAGGTGATTTTGCAGATCTTCACATGGTGGAGCCCCATGCCCTTTTGACTAATGTCCAGCTACTGCATGTAGATGCATTGATCACAATCAATGGGCTCAACCCACAGTTGACTTAGTAGGGGCAGAGATCACTTCAGCTCACCTACCTTTCAAGCAAAGCTCACAGAAGCTTTGAACATTGAGGTTTGAGGAACCCAGTACCCATCCAGCCTTCTCTTCTATCTGCTCCCTGATTGTCTTTCCACCTTTCTAAGCCAGTAGCTTTGACCTTGAGGATTTCTCTTCTGGTTTTGGTCTCTCCTCACCCTTTATCTTTTGGACTTGATGCTTGACATGTTTTCCTACAAGAACTGTGTTTCCATCTCCATTCTTGTTCCTTCACAATGTTGCCCTGTGACACTTCAGTGAAGCCCCTCAGATTCTCCCATCCAGTAAGGCTGGGATGTGGGGGAGGTGGTTCACCTCACTAGCCTCACTCTTTCCCTTCACAGTATTTTTCTGCTTCCACCTCAAATATATATATTTTTTCCAAAGTTCAAATATAGGTGTTACCGCTTAACAGCTAGGCAATCTGCAAGTTACTTTCCTCATCTGGATCTTTCTTTTATAAAATGGAGTGGATCCTTTCTCCCAGGACTCCAGTGAGATTTAATGATTATGTTTACATGTGATGATTATCACAGCCTAGGACTCCAATTGTAGCTATTATATAGAAAGCTGTAGGAGGCAAGAGCAGCCTGCTCCTTTCCCTTCTCCCTTACCTTGGCCTCTGCCCTCTGGTCAGTGCTGTCCTGTTTTCCCACCTCTTGTCCCAGCCCCACCCTCTTTCATAGTCAGTTAGGGAGACTCAGACAGAACAGCTCCCATTTCCTGGTGGCAGAGGATATCTGACTGGTTGCCATCACCATGGCAACTCACTGTCTCTCTCTCTCTCTCTCTCTTTCTCTCTATCTCCTTCCCCCCCCCCCCTTTCCAGGGCCGGCAGATTTGTGGAGTTGCAGACTTCTAATGGTTGGGAAGGAAGAGGAGAGAGATACTGGGGGAGGGGACAGAGGTTTCCTTGACTGCCAGGACCACCACCCTTTTTGGGTTCATTTGGATCCCAGACTCAAGCCTCGTATGCAGTGTGGCCTCTATTGTCTCCCTCATTTAGTAAACCATTTCTGATATCCTTAGGAACTCCTGATACCCTCTGAAATGGTCCGGCTTAGGACCCAAGGGTCCTTGGTTAGTGGCATGTGGCATGCATGATAATCATGTTGTTCAAAGCTACTTACTGAATGTAAAACAGGAATAATGATATTCATCCTGCTGTCCTTGCAGCACTGCTGGGAGGATTAAAGTCTAGAACCAGCATGGTTGTTCTTTATAAACTCCCAGGGCTGTCAGGAGCCATCAGTTATTCTGTCAGACCCTAGGAGTGATTGGCTAGTGGGGGGAAGCTTCACTGGTATTTTCCTCTCTTGACAGGAATGGAGGTTTGGGAGATGTATGTGCACATGGGATTCCCAAAAGAACAACATAGGGCAGTGGCATGCCAAGCCAGTGGGTCCCACCTGTGAGGTACAGGCCTGGGAGTTAATGCCAAGGTCTGTGAATCTAATTATACCCCAGGATATTTGCAGAATAAAGACACATGTCTTATACATGGTAGAATTATGTTCAAATGCTCACTGATGCTATTATAGCTTTACAAAATTAATTTAAAAACACATGCTGAATTCAAAGTATTTTTTGTCATTACATATGTTCCCAGTCAACAAGGGGATGGTGGTATAGGTATATGAAATTTATTATTGTTGGATGAACTCTCTTTAAAAGGGTGAGGTGAGGCTGTGTGGAGTGATGTGTACATGCCATGGGAGTGTGAGTGGTGAAGATGACATGAAGGGAGGCTTTAATTAGAATGACATCTGTAGAAGGAGGTCTTGCTCAAACAGGTGGCCTAGTCCCTCACCTGCCTCCTCCTGTCTCTCTCCAGCTGACCTGGCTGAGAGTGAGCAGGCTGAGAAGATTCCCTCAGTGGCTTCCAGCTACACTAGTCAGCATTACGGAGCACCCCTTCCCCCATCATTCCTTCAGGGCACTAAAGAAGCCACCATCACACATCACCTCCCATCAGGGTTCCACCATGTTTAGAATCACCTAGAGTCTAGGCTCAAGAAGGGGAGTGATGAGCTTGACTTTCAGACATGGTTTTCCTACCTGTGGCTTTCTTTGGAAGGTTTCACAAGCTGGGCGGGCAGTGAACATCCACTAGTGTTGGCCAAATGCCATTCTTCTTTGGCCAATTACTACGGCAAGGATGACAAGAGGGAAACACTCAGACCCCTGAGCTGAGCCCTACCTGGCTCCAGGGCCTGGGTTTTCTACAGCCTCTCCTTGCCCTCTAACTCAGTGCTCAAATCAACTAGCTCTCCTGCCAGAGCTGGAAACTAGGCACCAAGCCTTCCCTGAATCTATTTTTAGGGTTCATCTGTTCTTTCTTAGTTCCCCTCTAGATTCCATATTCTCTCACCCTCAGATTTGAAAAAGCTAAATATTCTCAAAATCATTCATCATTTCCCCTCTCCAGGTGCTCTCTCTGGCCAGCTCAGCTTGCAAGCTGTGCCTTCAACCCTACCTTCCCCATACCACTCCCCCTTTCTTTCTTCATCCCCACCCTCACCCTCTGGCTCCCTAGCTCCACAGGCGACATAGAAAGCAAGCTCTTTGTCTGACATCATCCTTCTACTCCCTGGCCTGCGAAGAGTTACTCACTCAGGCAATCCCTGCTCCACCAGAGGAGACTGTCCAATTGCCAAGCAACCCACTGCTGGCCAATCACAGAGCTCAGAGATGATGTCATGGCGAGAGCCCAGCAGTGGTGCTGATGTTGAGAGAAGCCCAGGGTACCACTAATTGAGAGAGTGAGGACGAGAACAGCTCGCTTCTAACTGGACTGCAGGTAAGTAAAAATGGGAGGCAAATTATTTGAGGCTTTTCAAAAAAATAAAAGAAAAGAAAAAAGAAAAAAAGGCAGCAGCAGAGCAGGAAAGCAAGGGGTCTAAGAAACTGAGTGTACTTATTGTGTCATCTTTGATTTCACTCAATTAAACTTTGTCAAATCATGGGGGAAATGGGTTGAGATAAAAAGGATGACATGCAGCAAAGGGGTAAGGGTGGGCTGCAGACCTTACTTTTATTCCAGAGTTCAGTACAGAAAAGGTGGGTGAGAATTACTAGGGTTTCTTTCAGGTCAAATGTCTGTGGTGAGTTATTTCTGCATAAAAATGTTTTGTTGCTGAAGGAGAAAGATTTTTTGTTCAGTTTGGCTTCTCCTGGAGCTGACTGACCCTCAGACCCCTTTCAAGCTAGAAGCTGACCTGGGTTTTACATTTTCTTCCTCAGCCCCAGCTTTCCTTGCTCTTTTTCCCATTTTTATCATCTGTCTTTTCTTTCTCCTTTATTGCTGTACTAGATTACTTTTTACCCTCATGGGAAAAAGGATACTATGAGATCACCACCTCTTCCTTGCCCCACCTCGCTCTGAGGTCAAATTGATCCTACCTGGGGCAGGGCTGGTTGGCGCTCAAGCTGAAAACTGAGAGAAAACAGAACTGCCACGCCCTGTCCCTGACTGTGGCTGAGGCCAGGCCCCCCTCGTCGCTCAGCCCGTCACCCTCACGAAGAGTTTAGGCGTTGTCATATTCCCACCCCAGGGACTCAGTGATTTGATGTCCAGTGGCCAGCTCTGTCCCCATGTGGTGGTGCTGTCATTGTTTTATTTCTCCAGGAAGACAAAGTCAGAGGGAGAAGTCTCATTGTCCTGAAAAAGGGCAGGTCTCCAGGACCTCTGGGGCACAGAAATATTCAAGTAGCCCTTCTCTCATTAGTCCAGGCAGGGATACTTCCATGTCTCAAGGTGTACCCCCCAGGAGAATACTAAGTGGGAATAGCCAGAGGTGGCCTGCTAGAGTCATGAGGGGGAAGAGGTGGTGGGAGATTGAGAGGGAATGTGGGGGAATCTGCCTCAATGGGAGGCTGAGTCCCCCTCTCGAGAGAGGAAACCTCTCCCACAGGCTGGGAGTCAGGGTGCCAGGGGGAATGAGATCATCAGTCAGATGTGGAAACAATCAGTGTGGAGCAGTGAAGAGGCAAAGGGTAACAGGTCTGATCAGCAGCTGCCACAGAGGGAGGTGAAATCTTCCAGCAAGCCTACTCTATCCTTTAAGGCTGGCCAACCACCCCACTCTTCGGCTTATCCCAACTCCCCCTCCCCCTTTCTGCTAGTTACCTTGCTTTCACTCCTTTTTGAATCCCACTCATCATCACCAGCTACTAAGCACATGTCAGCTGGTCCCAGCCTTCTTGGGTTCCTCAGCTACATCCAGGCCACTCATGGATTTGGAATTAGTGAGGATTTTTAACTAGCAGATCACTTCACCACTGAGCTGTCCTATATGGAGTGAGTTCCCCATCACTAAAGGCATTCAAGAAGAAGTTGGATGATCACTTAGGAGGGAGACTATAGAGAGGATTTCTGCCCTGTATTGGAGATTGGTCTAGATTCGTGTTTTTCTAACTTCTGATTGGGACCCATTATTAGATTGTGAATCAGTTTTATGGGTTATATCTGGTAATTTTTTAAAATAAAATGGGATAAAATAGAGTGGGGGAAAAAATGAGAGTGCATTCTATATAAACCAAACCAAATCATTGCCATTGAGTTGAATTCCAACTTTCAGCAACCCCATAGGACAGAGCAGAAATTCCCCATTGGTTTCCGAGGCTGTAAATCTTTATAGCAGCAGATGGCCACATCTTCTGTGGAGCAGCTGATAGATTCAAACAGATGATCTTTTGGTTAGCAGGCAAGCGCTTAACTACTGCCCAACCAGAGCTCCTTACATCCTGTATAATAGGATAAGTAATGTTTCTTGTATCTTTTTTTTTAGTTATCTCTTTTCAGTTACAAGTATATATGTGTGTGTGTGTGTGTATATATATATATATATATATATATTATATATGTGTGTGTGTATATATATATATATATATATATATATATTATATATGTGTGTGTGTATATATATATATATATATATATATAGTCTGTGTATGTCAGTAGCTATATATGCATTATATATGTGTTGGTAACATGATACATACTTACTGGGTCATGATATAAAATATATGTCTTATTGTCGATCCCTGTCAAAAGAGTTGGAGAAATATTGGGCTAAGTGACCTCTTTCTCTTCTAACTCCAAGACTATAAACCCAAAATCCACTGCCATTGAGTCAATTCTAAGTCATAGTGACCCTGTAGGACAGAGTAGAACTGCCCCCATAGGGTTTCTAAGGTCATCTTTCTCCCAAGGAGCAGCTGATGAATTCAAACTGCCAAACTTTCAGTTAGCAAGCCAATGCTAACCACTGTGACACCAAGGCTCTTCTCTCAAGACTATAAACCTATGGAAAACTCTTACTAGACTAGATTAGGAGGACCATGTCATTCATACGTGTCTCAGTGCCAAGTGCAAAGTAGGCCTTCAAAATGTACAATTAAGTGCAAGTAATCTTTTACAAGTCGTGGTACAGTTGTTAAATGCTTGGCTGTTAACTGAAAGGTTGGCAGTTCAAATCCACCAGCCACTGTGTAGGAGAAAAATGTGACAGTCTGCTCCCATAAAAATTCACAGCCTTGGAAACCCTATGGGGCAGTTCAACTCTGTCCTATAGGGTCACTATGAATTGGAATCAAGTCAATGGCAATGGCTTTGGTTTAGTTTTGGCATTCTTTTAAAAAGGAGCCCTGGGGGCACAGCAGTGAAGCCCTCATCTGCTGAAGTTGGTTGTTCAAACCTGTCAGCCGCTCCGCTGGAGAAACCTGGTGATCTGCTTTCGTAAAGATTACATCCAGAAAACCCTATGGGACAGTTCTACTCTGTCATGTGGGATCACTATGAGCTGAAATAGACTTAACAGAACCTAACAACAACAGCAACAACAACATTTCTTTTAAAGAGAAAACTCTGTTTCTTCAGGGATGTACTTTGTTGTAAAGGATCCATCAAAGACAGAGAAGTTTGGTCTCATATAGTGCATCCTGAGTAGATTATTAAACAGACCTATTATTGGGAGCTCTGGTAGCATAGTGGCTAAGACACTTGCCTGCTAACCAGACGGCTGGCGGTTCAAACCCACCAGCCACTCCTCGGAAGGAAGGTTGGGCAATCCTACTTCCATAGTGATACTGCCTCGGAAACCCAAGGAGGGGTCGCTATGAGTCGGGTTTGACTCGATGGCACATAACAACAACAACAACAATTATTGGTGGTGGGGTAGTGGGAATGTTTTGCATGATTGTATAGCAAGGTGCTTAATATCTAGATTCCATTTTGGCTCAATATAAGAAACTCAAGGGCCAAGAGAGGATGGCTGCTTTCTCTCATCTGACTGGGCCATTTAAACCACATTTGGACTATAGGAGGGAAGTGTGGTGAGTGATAAAATTTAAAATAGAACAACAAAGACTGATATACTGGGATCCAAAGAATAAGGCAGTGGAACAAGGGAAGGGACACAGGGCAAAGAAAATAAGGAAGGTTAAAGAGAGAGAGAGAGAGAAAGAAAACCACCTATATAGAAAAATCTGAAAAAAATAATGAAAATCTTTTGTGTTCTTGATTCCAAAAAATTGCATATTTAAGAATCAAGGTCACTAAAGGATTACTTTTTCCAGAACCCTTAAGTTTCTTTCCCCAAGCCTCCCCTCCCCTCTGCCCCCGATACCTTTATAATTCTTTCCTACTGATCTGGAGCTTCTCTTTTGGAGACACAGAACCCCAGAGATTTTGAAGTCATTTATGGGGAGAAATGGAACATATTTTTGGTGATAGAAATTCTGTGAAAAATTATACAACATGCAAAATCTGATTTTTATAATGCCCTTTAGAAAAGCAAAAACAACCTTTTTTTAAATCTTGAGAAATAAATGTGCATCATGTATAATTAGATTTTCTTGTTAAATTACCATTTGCTATATTTAGAAATGTGACAGTCTGTGAAATGGTTACTTTTTCTGTTTTTCTTTAAAGGGGTTGGTATGGACAAAAACAAATCTCACCTGCCATTTTTTTTTTCTCAAGTTTTTACATTTGTAATCCTCTGGTAGTGTAGTGGAGAAAGCATTTGGTTGCTAACCAAAAGATTAGTGGTTCAAACCCACGAGCCACTCTGAAAGATGAGATGGTCTGCTTCTGTAAAGATTTGCAGTGTTAGAAACCCAAAGGAGGTCGCTATGAGTTGGAATCAACTCGATGGCAGTGAGTTTGGTTTGGTTTGAGTCCCATTAGGAAGACAGAAAGACATACACATACATATGTACCCACTCACCTACCCCACAACATCTACCTTTTGTCCCTGCCAAAGTTCACTACTGGTCTTTTCCATAAATGAAAACTGGTAGTGTTGTGTGTCCACTCCCTTGAGGTCCTGCTGTCAGAGGTACACTGTGGGAGGCAGGAGAACAGGACAGGTCAGAAGGGACCTGAGCCGGTGCTTGTGGTGGTGGATTGGTAGGATTTACAACAAGGTGTAGGCAACCCAGGAGATCAGAGGACAAACCAAGGAACATGAATCCAGCTTGCAGGGTGGAAGACCCAGTGGTGATGGGGAGCGGGGAGAGTGCAGAGTTTCAGCAAATAATTTGCATGTCTGTGCCAAGAAATCCAGACCACAAAGGGAGCAAAGGTCAAACCAAGTAAGCGGAAGCAGATGGATTGGAAGCAACATACTGGGCAGTGACCACCTGACAGTATAAGCACAGTTTGCCTGGGATAGGCGTGCCTGTCATCTGTCCTGCTTTGAAAATCCAGCAATGTAAGGACTCAACAAATCCTCCAAGAAGTACTCCAGTTAATTAAAAGAATTACCAAATTAAAAAAATTAAATATACAAAAAA